AGGAAGTTCTGGTAACTTAATTTTTGAAAATCATAAAAAAAAAAAAAAAAAAAGAATTTTATGTGTCAACTAGTACCCAGTTGTAATCCAACACTAATCTGGGTGTTGTGAAGGCATTTGGTAAATGTCACTCACACCTAAAATAAGTTGACTTTTGGTGAAGGACATAACTCTTGATAATATGAATGGGCCTCATCTAATCAGTTGAAAGCCTTAAGAGCAAAAACGAATTTCCTAGAAAAGGAATTCTGTCTCAAGACTGGAGTATCAACTTCTGCTTGAGTTTCTAGCTTGCCCTACACACTTCAGACATGGGTACTGTTATCTCTATTATATATGAAGAAAACTAAGGCTCCTTAGCCAACTTCACCTCACTGCTTAATCCTCAAGAAACATCTATTACTATGGCATTTGAGGCCCACTAGCGTCTGGTCCCTGCCAACATCTCCAGTCTCCTTAGCCACTTACAATACCAGCATATGTTGCTTCACACCTACATGGCTTTGCATATGCCACTCCATCCCTCTAGAAAACACATCCCTTAGTCTTGCTCTGACAAACTCCTACTCATCCCTCAAGCCCTCAGCTCCACTGTCCCTTCTCTGGCCTAGCTCTACAGAAGCTGTCTCCAGCTGGACACCCCTCAACCAGTGACTTGGACAGCTTCCTGCAGGAGGCTGAAGGACATACCTCATCCACAGCAGCTGCAGGCATGTGGAGCTGGTGTCGCCGGAGCCAGGCGGCCTTGTACTTGTCCAGTTTCTGGCCTTTGTACTTGACAGAGGCCCAGCCACAGCCTGACTTCTTTGCTGGGTTCACCAGTTTCTTGCAGTGGGTGGCCCAGGCACTGGGTGAGTTGAAGACCTGGCCGGTTTCCTGCCATACAATCCTCCCATCTGGCTGCAGGTCCCCCATGAACTTCTTCCCCTGCGGCAACAGTGGGCTGTCTGGGCCCTGGACCTGGCACTCACCAGAACATCGCTTCTTTTTTTTTTTTTTTTTTGAGACAGAGCCTCAAGCTGTCCCCCTGGACAGAGTGCCGTGGCATCACTGCTAACAGCAACCTCCAACTCCTGGGCTCAA